TGCAGGCTGGCCAAATAGCACTTAATCAGTTGGCGATCAGTATCTGTGAGTACGGTATGTGCTTTGCGCCGTCTAAGTGCAAAGTGCTGCTACAAGATTGGCAGAAGCCTGTACCTGCACTCTCTTGCGCGTGAACCGCTTGAAATTGTTGATAAGTTTGTGTACCTCGGTAGTTGTGTGAGTGCTGGCGGAGGGGCGACGGATGAGATTTCCAACCGTATAATGAAGGCTAGGGTGGCATACACCAACTTGAGCCACCTATGGCGCCGTCGTGATATTAGCCTGGCTGTCAAAGGTCGGGTATACAATGCTTCGGTGCGGGCTGCCCTGCTCTATGCCTGTGAAGCCTGGCCTATCCGAACTGAGGATGTGCGGCGACTCTGCGTGTTCGATCATCGCTGTCTCCGCAGGATTGCTTGCGTTCGATGGCATCACCGCGTGAGTAATTCTGAGGTTCGGCGGCGTGTGTTTGTACACAGTGGAGGTCACCATTCATTGAGCGTCGTCATCTGGAAACACCGGCTGCGGTGGCTTGGACATGTGCACCGGTGGCACAGTGGTTAGGACTCTCGCCGACCATGCACATGGTCCGAGGTTCTATCCCCTGCCGACGCACACCTGATATCACTGGTCGGCGTGCCAACTTTGGGCTGCCGATATCCATGCTGAAAATTCCATACTTGTACCAAAAATACAGTGTGGAATCAAGCAGTAATCAAAAAATAAAATAAAAAATGTGCTGCAAATATCATCCCAGAGGCTCCCGTACAGGTCTCTGTTCGCTAGCCCTGGGACGGGATGGAAAAGGCGGAGAGGTGATCAGTCCATGATGTGGCGTCGTGGGATGAAGGATTTTTGTGCCAGATTATCATCGGTTGGTGTGTCACGACTCTCTGGTTGGGGTCCGAAAGATAGCTCAAATCGATGGCTCGAAACGTTATCGGATATGGCCAAGAATCGTAATCAATGGCGAACGTGTAGCGATTTCCTTCTTTTTTCCCTTCCCGATGATATTTAAGCACGATTGTTTTCCTTCCAGATGAAGTTCTTTATCTGTTCTCTACTCATATATTCTTCTTTCTTTTCTTTCTTTTTATCTATGTTGTTTTATTAATATTGTGTGGAGCATCCTTCTTGGTGCCATATTGTACCAAGTTATGCGTTTAAATAAATAAATAAAAAATGTGTTCACACCTCTAGAGCTAATGATGAGAAAGTATGTTGCTGTCAAAGAAGCCAGTCAAATTCATGCAGCTTGTCCGCAGAGAATGATAAATGTCAATGCATTTAGTGAATTTTGTTTCAAATGTACCAGCGGATGTATTGTTGTAACCTTTTAGGATTTGACTGTTCACCTGGTGAAGACCGTTTAGACTTAAAGTGTGTGGATAGATTACTCCTTTTAAATTAAGACGCCTAAATAATGCAAATTCCTGAATGAAACCAGTGAAAACTTTGAGTATATTGAATTAGTGTTTAATCTCTGTCAGATTTTTGGTTGTTGCTCCAGTAGTATTTTATAGAATATTCTAGTTTTAAGATTCAACAAAATGACCATTAGATTCATCTAGAACTTTGTGTCATTTCTTATTTACTCCTTCTTGAGAGAAAATTTGTGCATAGAAAAGAGGTTCAGTTAATACTGGCAGTCAATGAGATAGTCTGGTGGATAAAGCATGCGAAAGTCCACTCAGTCAGTCTGATATATGACTGTTGGAGACGTCACAAGATTAAAGGGGCTAAGGTAAACTTTAAGCACCACTAACTAACAATGGAGTGAGACCGCACCAATTACCTTGAAACGCTCAGTGAGCAAGTTGGTTGAATCCTGCAAATAATGCTGTCATCATCAATAAAATATGCTATTCGAAGTACTATTGTGGTGAGAGCAGGCCGTGAGAAAATATGTATAAGGCTGATTTAACAACCAATCACAGCAAAGTTAACGTGGCAAAATATGATTCGCAGATAGAGAACTCTATTTGTCGAGGAATCCCGAAACAACCAATCCGAAGCCCGCGTTTGTCTGCCTAACTTCTGATAAACAACCAATCAGATGACTGCGTTTGTCTACTTGCATAAGCTGTAATAATTTATGTGAAATATATATAAATACGTGTTGATTTTCATAATAAAACGATCTGTTGCCTGGCCCTTGTCTTCTGTTGTTACACTATTCTATGAAATGGGTATCTGGTAGGTTTCAGCTTAGGTTAGGGAAACATTAAGTTACGGTTTAAGCCAAGGACAAGTTGGGGTTAGGTTAACCTAACAAAGGCGACATTAGAGTTGGTTCGAGTTAGATTACAGTTAGTTTATGGATATTTTCACGTTGAGGTTAGGTTCAGGAAAGATAAGTGTTATTGATAGGGTTAGAAGACCTATATAATTGCATACATAAAGTGTGGTTAAATTTCTCTGTTGATATAAGAATAGGATTTATGCACTGTAGTAGAGTATAATTCCATTGTGGATCAAATTTATTTTGATAAGGACTCACAATGTTATACAGTAATATTTACTGATGACATTTCGAGCACAATTTATTGCTCAGTAAATATTACTCTATAACACTATGAAACTTTATCAAAATAATTCTTACCCACAATGGAATTATGCAACCGAAAACAGAACTATTTTCATCATATGTAAGAGGAAAGTATCCTCTCTAACACTTTTCTACAGTTTCTATGCAATTTTTCCATATATATATTAATTCCATACACAAAAATGCCTCCTTCATGTGATTGGTGCTTTCGAAGTCACTCGCTGATTGGTAGTTAGCGGTGCTTAAAGTTTAACTTTGCCATTAGAGGTACTTTTACACGACATCTTTCGCTAACATGGCTCACGTGTGCCGAAGAAAATGCATCAGTTCATGTGAGGTGGCCAACCCTTACTAATCAGTCCACTTCAGACATGCATTCCATATGATAAGCTCGTGGCTCCATTAAAAAGTAATATTAACTGAAGTGAGTATAACATTTAGAAAGTTAGAACAGCTTGAGAGAAACAAGTCCCTTATTTATGGAGTCTGTGAGTTATGTAACACAGTATAAGTTACATAGATGTATTCCTCCGAAAGACAACAAACAGTGATTCAAGGATATTGCTGACATAACCGATAATTAATTACAATACTTTTAGTCGTATTCGCTTAGTTTTAACGTATCGTCTCACATAAATATCCTTCGACTGTAATTTCCTTCTGCTTCGATTCACTCATATTTATGTGGTTTTTCCAACTTAAATTGATACAGCTCTCCATGAAGATTCTACACAGTTCTGTTTATCATTGCTGATTGGCATTAGGGATTTTGAGACATACTGCTTGCCCTAATGTGACTGATTTGTACTCGTGCATTAATCATAACAAAAAAAAACAGAAAAACCTTCCCCAAATTATTCCTGAAATGTTGTAACGGCCGAACACAGAGATATTTGCTGCCAGAATACAAAGAGCTTAAATTGAAATTGTATTCTGATTATTCTGTCTTTATTTTATGCTTTCTACGCTGTGTCACAATTACCTGCCAAGCCATCGCCTCCCTCGACGAGCAATGTTAGCGGATATAGGGTCAGGCTGGAAAAAAGCTAGCGGCGGTCAAACAAAAACTTGGCACCAGTCAATGAAATCCACAACAGTTGGTCTAAGCCACGTAGGAAGGTGTAGACTTCCAGGCTGGGGTCCTCGGGATGGTAAAAATCTACGGTTGGAAACAATTGGTGACATGGCTCAAAATCGTTCTCAGTGGCGCAGATGCATCCACTCCTTGTGACTTATGATCTCCAATGAAACTGTTTTGTTTTTCTTTATTACTCCTCCTTTGTCCCACACCTCTGCTCACTGTCTCTATTATGCTTTTCTTGTACTTTCTTCTCTTGCTTCGCGTGCTACACGGAGTGTGGCGACTTGAACTGGTGCACATTTGTGCAAATTTCTATGTCGAAAACAGACACACAGACAGACAGACCTTCTAGTTTGGGGAGGTTTACAATTCAATCCATCACTCCTTCACTAAAGATTTTTGCATAAGACGTTATAATTATTTTTAGTTTATTATTTTTATTATGAGTTGATTTCATACAGTATTTTTGGTACACCTGTGAAATTTCCAGCATGTGATATCGGTAGCCCGAATTCAGCAGGCCGACCATTGATATCAGGTGTGCGTCGGCTAGGTATCGAACCCCAGACTATGTGCATGGTCGGTGAGAGTCCTAATCGCTGTGCCACCGACGCATCAACATACTGCTTGCAAATTCTTGTAAGTAGCACAGGCAACATGAAGTCGTTTAGGGATCACGAGTACCTTAAACCATAACCTTCATATAATGTCCTATATTGATGATATAGGCATAATAAGAGAGAAATAATATAAATTAGAAACCATATATAAGCTTATACACTATAAAATGAACCAGCCCTTTTATATTAAGCTTGTACGAACTTCATTAAACACAAGAACAACTTTTGAACTTTTCAATTAATGGTCACAAATTTAACACCTAATTTAAAGAACCACAAATCCAAGTAAAACTAGAGTACTCTTGATACTTTGAAGTACATTTAACTGAAATATAATAATGCAGAATAAAATATGCTTAATCCCGACCCCTTCCTCCAGGAGACAATTCATACAGGATAACATCTAGGCCCGCTTGCAAACTTTTTATTACAGAACACCTAAGCCAAACAAGCTGTGCATACTCACCATTGTAAAAGTCACTAAATAACTCATCTCATGTCATAAAAAAGCACTTCCAACAGGCTGCAGACTTCAATCAACAGCTGTACTTTTGCACCAGGCAAATCCTTAAGTAGAACGCAGAAGGGAAGCCAATGACCTCGGAGTCCGTCGGCGACATGCAGATTGTATGAGGAGGAGATGAAAGTTTAAAGACAATCATAAGGCCAGCTGCAAAATAATGCAGAGAACAGGTTGACGATGCGCTGCTGAAGTCCTATATTCCACTAGGGACCCAAGAGAATAATAACAATATTACTACTATTACTTTTACTAAAGGGACCACCAGGGAACTGAACCCACCTCTCCTTTATTCCTTGGTTTTCAAACTTCTTTTAATAATGTCAGTTAGCCAATGGAATTGAAATTTTATTCTATCTTAATAAATACGTGAACCAACAGAATTCATATATAAGTAGTATATATACACTATATAAGTACTATATTATCAACAATAATGAATATGACTATTTACATTAATTTTCTGTTTTTGTAACTGTCTCATTAACGGAATCACCTTCTGATGATTTAGACAAATGAACACGCCAATATAATCCAGGTGTGTCTGACCGTCGAATTAGATAAGTATCTTTATTCAAATTAGGCTTTATAATCAATCCCTTTTTGGATGACCATTCATAAGGAGGATACATACGCGCCTTCTCTTCTTCCGTTGGCTCTATAGGAACCTAAATTATTAAAAGAATACATACATTAAATTTTTGAATAAAATGACAACTGATAGAAACTAGTTTACAAATATGTAAAATAATGCTGTAAGACTGCTCTGTACCTGCTTCCAATTTAAATATAAGGAATGCAGTAGTTGGGCGTATTGACCACTTCATTTATTTGTGAAGTTCCATCAGCCCTAATAAACTGATTACTGGCAAAATCTCAGTACGGAACAAATGAAAGGCTTGTGTAATATTTAACAACTCCCGTCATTTCTGTTATAGGCATGATATCCGGCGATTAACCAAAATATGAGTGCACTGCACAGCAGTCTGAACTATTCTCTCGTACGACTGTGAGACATGCCTACTGAGAAAGTGCAGGATAGGGAAAAGCTAACTGCATTCGACCAAAGTTATTAGAACGCTTTCTCCCGTGATAAGTGGTATAATACGGTGGGCAATACTGAGATCACACATAAGGAGGGCAAGTTAACCAATTGGTTGTATATCTGTATTGATTGAGATGGCTGGGCTGGGATACGTGTAGTGGGCATCGAGTCACCATCTTTCACGTCGAGAAATGTTAGTTAACACGGGAGTAGGTTGGAAAACACTCAAACCAAAACCTGACATCAATTCATAATGTTTATGAAAGTTGGTTTTTGAGCCAACCACGTAGGGAAGTCGGGGTCCTCGGGATGTTGAGACCTAATGGTTGGAAACCAGTGGCAATGTAGATTCAAAGTGTTCTTAGTGGTGCATATGCATACATTCTTCCTGATCTGCTAGATAAATTAAATCAAGGTTCTGCATGTAATTTTTTTTCACCCGTATATGTTTCGTTCATTATAACTCCGTTACATCCTTTTTTTCCCTACATTCTAGTGCTAAATGAAGTTTAGCAACTGAAACTGCTGCAAGTTTGTGCACACTTCTACGCTGAAAACTCAGCCACTCAGTCACATAAATGAATCAACTATTGAAAGAGACTTCGAGACAAAGTAAGTTACTCATAAAGTGTACGAAAACACCTAAATGATAAATTCGCTTCGAAGTCAAAAAATTGGTTCCAACACAAGTTAATTATCTGCTGAAAACTGTGTGGAACTTTTCATAATAATGAATTAGAAAATAATCCATCCCTCTGTTTATTATGGCATTCTAATTCCTAATTTTAATTTTTATTAATTTGACCCTTAACCGGAAATTATTCTACAACTTTTCAATCCAATTGATATAAATACCCGAATGTACAGCCTAGATGATGACTTCGTCGAAAAGAAAATTTTCTTCGCTGCAATTGTCTTCTGAATAAGAAAAGTAAATGTTAGATGTGCTTATGTATCATCTTACACGTCAATATGTTTGATTTCGCTTTTAGTCTGTATCTACTAATTCCCGATGACCTCACAGGGGCTGTTTAACGCACTGTAATGACAATCCAACAAATTTAATTCTCCACTTGGTACCATGTCACGAAGCTAACCACCTCTCTGCTTATTCTAACAACATTTGAAACCACGAAAAAGGTATTAAAATAACTATTACGAAGAAATATGTTGTGCTTTCGAAAGCCCGTATTTTAAAGTGCTTTCACATCTTGAATGTTGACAGTTATTATACCTTAAGAAGTACCTCCGGATTTCTTTCAATGTACTGCCACAAGAAATGGGTAATTCTACGGAAATAGTGGTTTTTATTCAAACGGAGGGACCGTCTGGAGATAACTCGTTAAAAAAAATCAGGTTACATAATCGTAAAATGAAACCACCTTAGCAACTTAAACTCACTAGTACCTTCACAAATTTCCAGGTTGAGTCGTCAGACAGTGTGCACTAGACTTTCCGGAACCTTTAACTTTTCAAAAAGTCTCACCGCAAGCGCGACTTTCTGTCACTTCTCCACAGATGATTCTCATTTCTATGACGCTATAGAAACCTTTTATTCTTATAAACACTTACTGTCAACTAGCTACATGCCTCTTCATTAGTTTTCCAACATGTTCCCACAAAATGAAATCCTATCACTTGAGAAATTTAGAGGTCTTCTCATAAACCACTAGTGTGTATATCTTTTAGAATAGTCCACACAAATAACCATGTGAATTTACGCCATTTGCGGTGTTGTGTATCGCCTCTAAAGTTCACAAAACATCTAAGGAACATGCGTCATCAACAAAATTCAAAAAATTCTTCTGTCCACTGAGGATTTCTTGACACTACTAGTAAAGATTTGATGACCAACTTGCTTGCTTTGTGTTATTTTTACCAGAACAATCTCTTTGTTAGAACTTGTGGTTGTTTTCTAATTGTAAACTATGATAATAAACAGTTTTAAAATACTTGAAACTAAGAAATCATTCCATGAATCTAGTGATCAATCTAGAGTTATACATAATTTTTACTTTCTTAAAATTTTTTTAATTTTTTGATTACAGCTTGATTACACACTGTATTTTGGTACGGGTATAGAATTTTCAGCATGGATATCGGTAGCCCAAATTTTGCAGGCCGACCATAGATGTTAGGTGTACGTCGGCAGGGGATTGAACCTCGGGGAGAGTCCTAACCACTGTGCCACCAACGCACATAAGCGCTAATGAAATGGATTGCACTGACTGAGTTTCAACAAAAAACTGCGCAAGTGTAGAGAAAAGAAAAACAGAAGTCCATATGAAATATAAGGAGTAGAAATGTATGAGAGAAAGAATAGTAACACGGAAAAACGTGAGAATCCAAAGGATCTGGGAGATTACAAATAGTGATGTATCTGCACTATTGAAGACCACTTTTGAGAGATATCACTTACAGTCTCCAACCAGTGGTTCTTAGAATCCCAAAGACCCCGGATGAATTGCAACACTTACTACAGTATTGAATCAACTGAACAAACTGAGCATATTTTCAATACATTCACAACATGAACAAAACTGTATCTATCCTATTAAAAATAGTTTTTTATATACAGCAAAACCAAATAGACAATGGTGTAAGCATCATTTGGTCAGGACACACTGGCACTTTCCAACCGGTAGCTTGATTCGCATTTTAGTGCTATGCTTTTGTGTTCTTCACTTAAAAGTATCGTTAATTACGACACAGATTTCTCATGTACCAGGTTACTGAGACACATTTGTCATGCGAGGGCTGATGATACTACCTAGATGCTTCGGCTAAAGTAACTATGGTGGGATATACAGCTGGAAGTCGTGTACTTAAGCCACATCTATGTTGTAGCACATTTATCCGCTAGTTATTTACTTGGGTCTATCTAACATTTTAACGTAATTATATGAGTGTTAATAGTATAATAAAGTGAAGCAGCCTTTGGAATCTAAAATATTGGTGACACAAGGTTTTGTGTATTGTCGAATTACTTCGGTGATAAGAAAATATGATAAGAAAATAGGTTATAGAATACCGAAGAAACAGCAGACTATATATAGGTTGTCCGTCTGTCTGTTTTCGATACAGAACTTTGCACCGATGTGCACATTTCAAGTCGCCACACTCCCTCCTTGTAGCCCACAAAGCAAGAGAAGAAAGTAGAAGAAATGCATAATAGAGACAGTAAACACAGATGTGAAACAAAGGAATATTAATAACGAAAATCAAAACAGTTTCATTGGAAATCATAAGTCACAAGGAGTGGATGCATCTGCGCTAGCCATTGACGACGATCACTTTGAGCCATATCACCAATTGTTTCCAACCACTGGTTTTTACCTTCCCGAGGACCCCAACCAGGAAGGCTTCACCTTCCTACCCGACTTAAACTCACTGTTGTGAATTTCATTGACTGGTACCATGTTTTGGTTTGACCGCCGCCAGCTCTTTTCCAGCCTGACCCTGTATCAGGTAACATTGCCCGTCGAGGAAGGTGATGACTAGGCGTACGTAACATGTCCTAACCATCTAAGTCGATACAATTTCACAGCCTCGTCGATTGATTTCCCCTCCTTACCTAGCAAATGACAGCTTACAAATCAAGTTAGATATAATAAGTTAGTCAACTGATAGTCGTCCTTTAGGCGCTCGTGATCAGCTACAAGCAATTACCTGTAGTTAACTGACATAAGCAATGATATCAAACGGAAAGTCAGCAAAGAAATTAGCGATCAGCACAAACACCAAAAAACTAAACTTACTTTAAAATCTGTTGGATCATAATGGTGAGGCGTTAACAGTAATAATCCACTAGCCTCTCTCATTGACTGTTGCATAGATAAGGAGTGTGTTGATTTTTCAGCCTGTTCAACTACTTCTGCTGGGAGGATATGCTTTCTACGCAAGAGAACTGTCAACAAAGGAGGTGCTTGAGCAACACAACTGACTGGAACATCTGGAGCAACTAGATTAATTTTCTTCAACAAATCTTCTACTTCACTAGGTGAAAGAAGACGCCAATCTGCTTCATGTGTTTTTGGTATGAGAGAGTAGCCTAAATCTCTACCGCGAAATATTCTTCTACCCCAAGCTCTACATCTAACAGAGGACTGCAAATAACAAATGAATGAATTAACAGAAAATGAATACTCCTTTCATATAAAGGTTTTGTGAGAATGATCAAACATACTAAAAAGTATATGATAAACCTAATTAAGAATGCAATTTACTTAATCAGAAGGAAGAAAACACTAGTTCACTAAAAAAAATTCTTGATTTTAATCATGAAACTAAGTAAATATTGAGTATGAACCTATGTGCTCCGACAAAGACTTACAAAGATGTTTTAATAGCTCCACAAAAAAATAACTTTTGATAAAACTACAAACACATAAAGAAGACAGTTTTACATACATCAGAGAGGAGCTTGAATGTTTAGTCTGAGATTTTATGAAATCGCATGATTCGTACTGATGTCATTTTATATAAAAGGACTAGGGATAAAACTTTTTGGCTTCAGGTTTCGAAAGCTCTAATATTAGTTGTATCGGTACATTAAAAATCTCAAAAAAACATTAAATTGCTGAATAATGTAATCGTGTGTTAGTTTTTTGTGTTACCCAAGTAATTGCATCGATGGTTAGGGAGTGAAATGCTCGCCAACCACGCACGTGCTTCTGGTCGGATTCCCGCCTGATCCACTCTTAAGGCTTTGTCTAGCTGATTGTAAGCCCTGAAGAAAGGGAAGACTGGAAGTCAGGCTGGAAATTCCATCCCATGAAAATAGCACAAGAGCCAGTGAAACTTTACCCCGGCCGATAACTGCTACCTTGTCGTGGTGGTTGGGCTTGAATGCCGTAATGACCCAACATGCTAAACTGACTGGGACTCTGTCCCTGCAGGTTCTACCATGTCAGGAAGGTTGTTTGGATAGCGGTTAAACTAAAAGCAGTGACCATGGGGTACATGGGCTCCAGTATCCAATCGGATCAAATGGCGTATGAACCCATATGGGTCACCGTCAACCATGGGAATGCAGCTCCTGACGCTGCTCCGCTGCCTTGGGGATTCGACTCCAAGTCAAAGGCTCGCGGGGTGGTCCCTTAATAAAACCACCTGCTTCGGTCTGGGCGCCTGGGCAGTATCTCAGCCCTCACACGATGAATTGAATGAAGCAACAAACTATCAATGAAACTTATCGCGCGCTATTACACGTGTTGCAATTTCCTTCTTTCTTCCCTTCCTGATGATAGTTAGCGAATACTGTTTGAACTTGTTAAGCATGACTGTTTTCCTTCCAGATGAAGTTGTTTATCCGTTCTCTACTTATATATATATATATATATATATATATATATATATATATATGTATATATATTTCTCCTCTTTCTTTTTTTTCTTTTGATCTATGTTGCTTTATTATTGTGTGGCGCATCCTTCTTGGTGCCATATTGTACCAAGTTTTTATGCGTTTAAATAAATAAAATAAGTGAAACTTTAAAGCCTAAATTTTAAGGCTGTATATTCCACTCGGAAAGCAAAGGATTGAAAAAAATATATCTGAGTAAAAGTCATCCAGAAAAACTGAACATAATATCGTTACGCAACCTTTTATTTTAACAAAGACATACTGTTAGTTCGAAATGACTAATCTGCCATATTATTCCAGATACCTTCTTATTAATTTGAGATTAACAAGTATGAGCCTATTTGACAGGTCGAAAGAAGCCCCAATGACAAGAATCACAAAAACGACGCTTGAAATAACGGTACTACGACACTTTTATTTCACTCTCCTAACAAAAAGCGACAAGGTATACAATCTGCACTGTCAAGCGGTTTTCATGAGAAAAAAATGACGTTGATTACACAACGGTCTGTATGATTTACTTCATTTTAATTCATTCTTACCGAATAGGCTAATCTAATCATAAATACTGAAGAAAACCGATCAAAATGTAACTCAGGATAAAGATACATCCTAGAAAAAAAATGAGTTGAGTGACAGAAAAATATGTTGTTTCGATGATTTCATTCACAATAGCTGTAGAGCTGTCATTTTTATACAGTATATTTATACAATTTTTTTTTATAGTAACATATAATCAGGGTATGAAGAGAAATGGAAAGAAGTGAAATCTCCGTTAACCAATCCGGAGTCATTTAAAAAGTGGGAAGAGATCTGACGAAAGCAATGCACCTTCAAACTCTTTTCGCTGCGCAAATCCTCGTTATAATATGCAGGAAGGGAAGTCGGAGTTATCTCGGGGTCTGATCCCTTTGCCAACGCACTCTTTAATCCCATTTAGCCGACAATAAGACCGAAAAAGAGGGAAGGTTGGGCTTGAAGCTAGCAACCCCACCCCGTAAAGAATAAACACCATGGCTAATGACATTTAAAAGCTCCATTCAGAACGCGAAGAATTAAGATAAATAACAATAAATAAATGATTTTAGACCTAGATGGTATTTGTGCACTTTCTCATTAATCTTCACTTCATAAAACATCTGCAATTTTGAAAACAAGTTAAACGAATTAGTCATCACTCAATTTTAACTATGCCATTACTATGTCCAATTAAACAATAGCTATAACAATGTTAACTTGTACAAGTAGGATGGATAAAATTGCGGTCATGCAATCACTGGGAATGAAACCACTGAAAACATTTTCTGATTAACTTTTCATTTTCGCTCCAGTGCCATAATGTATACTTTTCACGTTTTAAAGGTGCATCGTTCTAATTTGCTATACTTCAAGTCAGGACAAAAATAAAAAGGCGTAGAAATAGAATAGTATCAAAGCAAACAAATATGTGTGAAACAATAAACAACACTTAGATCCACATTCGCCAAAACATTCTAAATTGTACTTAGAAAGAATGAATTCTTTTGCCTTACTACGAAATTTGCAGGGCTATGTTAACCATATTCTCAAAACAATAATTCCTTCCAATCAGAGTATTACAACCAAGTAATATGAGCTCCACCCACTTGACCCAGGCCAACCGTCATAAACTTAATGTAATGTTTAGGCCTGACTACACCTAACTTGTTCCCAAAATGGATTTACTCCATATGATATATTTTCGTGACAAGATAGTGCCACTGATCGCTCAAAGTACTCTCCAATCACTAAAGTAAACGAAGATTCACCGTTGTTTTTATCTTCAAATTTATTTATTTTTACTTAATATATTACGGAAATCCCAATACTCTCTGCGAACAAAAGACCGAAAACACAATGTTCTCCCTTTAACTACTCATGGAATGATAATCTACACCTGAATAAAATATAAAACTGTTTAACTCAATTAACACAATTGGAAATACTAAAAAAATTACTAACTGTGTCGGACATTAATGGGACAACGTTATCCAAAATGTAGTAGCAGGGTTCTTTGAATTTTGCAAACTCAGTCTCCTTTATAACTATCCTGCCTTTAGCACGGTTCTTTAAATTTTTGGCGATTTCTGATAAAAATTTGCCATAGAAATGAAGAGATGGACGTCCAACATATTCAATTTTAGGCATGACAAGGTTCCTGAAAATGGATAGTTAATGTAAAGCTGCTTGTTTACACTCGCTTCTCCAAAACACCTTTTGCTTTCCTCTTATGTCGACGTAACACCTTAAGAAGGAACACACATGACGGGAAACAAAGAAATTTATTACAATATATATATATATATATATATATATATATATATATATATCGGACGAGCCACTACAAATGCCATCATTATTAGTGCCAATCTGAAGGCCGAAAGAATTCAAGCGTGTTATATTACAGTCGCACTAGCTGTACACCATTAACTACCGAATAACAGGAACCTGAAGTTTATAATAAAGCTTAATTACACTTTAAAATACTTACCACTTATCTAAAAATGACATTCCTGTTGCCACTCAAAGGTTATCGGAAGGTCAGTTTACCTAAGAATGTCTCTTACAAAGTAAGAATGACGTTGATAGGTCATCAAAAAGAAAACTGTACATAAATGTAACGTGATGAATCTTACTAATTTCCTTCCAAACATACATAACACACTTTATGACAAAACTTGTTATCACCTGATACAACTTGCATAACACCGATTTTTCAAAATACTTTGTGTAATTTACGTGTTACGTTTATCTATTTGGAAAACGTGGAATAGCTCCAAACACAAGCCCTTTTTAACGGCCAGCAAGACAAAACTAACCAAGGAGACTAGCAAACACACCACATCGTTCTTTAGAGAGGAACAACTGCTTTTACAAAGAAACCATGCACATAACGAGGTGAGTCATACGTATGAATGAAGCCTATCTATATTTCTTAAAAAGTCACTTTCGGCAGAGATTAAAGTTTGAACCAAATGAAAAACACTGAACAGTATGAATCAATACTTTCAGTTATTAGAAACTAAAGACCAAATAAAATATCTGAGGGCAATAACTGCGACTATAGTCCCCATATATGGGGAAAATTATGAGGCAAACAATGGCGGAATCCTAAGGAAACTTTGACGAAATGCACCATCTTCCCCAAAAAACTAAATTTTCCCGAAAATACTCCTAAATTTGCCCTAAATTTCTTATTTGGGGCCCCCATACGAGAACCCGCTTATTGGCAAAACTCAAGTTTCACAGTCCCCGTACTTTGGTTATTGCCCACGATCATCCCAAACTATGGCCCTATATTTAATTTAATTTTCTATACCAATCAAAAGGTAATGGTGGTAACAAGCCCTAGGAGACACTTGCATATCCTGACTCTATAAATACTTGCAGTTAACGTACCGCAGCTTACTAATAACGCGGTTTCTTGTCCCATCTTCAATACCGTGAAAGATGCTGTACACCGACTGAACTTATCCCTCACTTACTCGCTGTCTGAAAAATATGCTTACCATTCACAAGGTTCCAGCCTATTTATCGTAGTCACTTGGCAATTCTGTGCTCAGCATATTTTATAACTATAATATACTTCATTATAACTGGCAGAAACTGCGATGTGTACTTAAGTGAACAACCACATATGAGAATATGATGTAGGCTTCACAAAGTAATATACAGTAGAACGTAACTCTATCGCAATGATAACTAATTTCATAAGAACTAATACTAATTTATTTACAAGTTAATCTCACACCAACTTCCCACTTTGAATTATATACTGATATACCTTGTCTATTTTGGCTAAAACTTCTTATTATTATTATTTTTGATTACACCTTGATTCCACACTGTATTTTTGGTACAAGTATGGAATCTTCAGCATGGGTATCGGTAGCCCAAATTTCGCAGGCCGACCATAGATGTCAGGTGTGCGTCGGCAGGGGATCGAACCTCGGACCATGTGCATGGTCGGCGACAGTCCTAACCACTATGCCACCGACGTACAGTGACATCCTTTTCCATGACCTATGTCACAGAATGGTACTTAGAACTGCTCAGTAACTTTTATCAGGCCAAAGATGCAACTGCAGTTAGAGCGAAACCCTTTTGTCATTCCACTCTAAGAAATAAGTAAGACGAAGCGAAAACGAATGCTCTTGTAACGGTAAATAGTTCCCTAAAATTATTGACCACAGCATCATCACTGAATATTGGATGCTGACCCTCACTGTTTAAGTCAACTTGTTTAGCTGAAGGCTTCCGGTCAAGCATCCACGCCACTTGAAACTTCGTCGTGTCACGTTCGTTCGTGCACGTTCCCTAGTTTAACATATTTATTTTCCAAGGTATATATATATATTTCGAAGGTATCTCGCAGAGAGTTGACTGATCATCCCTCCATAAGAGATTAAAACAGGAATTTGATGATTGTTTGAACTGTATGCCCCATTGTAGACAGGAATCGTTTACATTCAGCAGCCATCGTTAGAGCTCCGTATTTTGACATCTTTGACACATGGCTGATGTAAATGTAGTCGTCGCTGCAGATTGTTACATCATCTCGCACTCCGATTTGGTCCCGAAATATACCTCGTAATTTGGACGATCAACTATCGTGTTTTACTTTGCCTTTGGTCTACACGGAACGAATAATACAGAAGTTGTGGGTATTAGATCTTGTGTTAGTAAACTTCTCATCATCTGTGAACGTCGATACCGTCAGCCTCCAAATTCTTACAAATTTTAAACTGTAAACCCGTCACTACGGTCACCGTCAAGTTCGATCTGCAACCCAAACTTCTTTCGGTTTCATGCTGACAGATTTGGTCGACCAGCGAACAGTGTATATTAGGTTAAGTGCCACGCCACCAAGTGATTAAGGGCTAATTTGGGAGGAGAAGAACGTCCTGAGAAACTGTAAAACTGTGTAAAATACAATTATGGATAATACATCAGTTGAAGTACATTTACAAGTTACGTAAGACAAGGAGTAGGAGACTCCATGGAATGGTAGTATGCGCTTGCAAAGTATAGTGCTAACTATATTGACATGGAGACTATAACATTTTCCATGTGAATATAGCTTTTCTCAAACATGGGTGCTGTTGTTATGTTTTTTTTCATCAGACCAACCAGATTTTAGGCAAGTGAAGAATGTGGATGGAAAGAATAAATTTTAGCTTTGCTGAATGCCTAGGTATTTAAAATAAGAAAGAGTATAGTAGTGATTAGTCAGAAAAGATTATCGTGAAGTATATAAGTGATATTTTAGGGCATGAACAGTGGAAACCAACCTAGGGGTAGCCTACACCATCAATCAAAGCGAAGAATTTATACAATGAGAACACTGCCAGTCATCATATTCTAGAGACAAAGTGTTAGCTAACGGAAACAAAATGAAGTTTTCATTATTCTACTGACTTAAAATATGGAATTATGTATATGATATAATTTCGGTGTCATCAGTATTGCAGACAATGATCAGAGGTACGTGAATGTAAATATCCTGTGTGCAAATTTTATATTTTCCTCAAATTATGGCTTGCTGTGAAATGACACGAATTATTTTGACCACCGTGGTTGCAAAAATCGAAGATACAAGAAAGAAATGCTTGTTGCGCAATAATAAAGATAATGACCACAAACAGCAAGCTATGTGTAATATACATGAAACCCAGTATCAGGATCGATCATCGTATCGGAAGTATTTCAGCACTTTTTCATTATGCAAACGTGAATATTTCAAGGGGGAATTAATTGCGTAGATCATACCCCGGGTTCATTCAGAGAAAGTCGTCTGCATATCAATTGTCGCTTGCTATGTTAGAAAATATTCCGTCTTTAAAAGTGCCGTACTCCTAAGCTTTCTAAACTGACAGTCAGATAACACATAATGTTTTAGACGCATTGTTTCGAGACGTTCAGTGTCATTAGTCCGCTTATTTTAAACAATTTAAAGTGGAGCTAAACGAACATCGATTCCATCAAGAGAAATCAGCTTAGACCGTGGTGTAGTCCTTGTAATAGTGAAGTTCAAAGCTGGGTTTTGTATTATGCGGGCATTCGACCTAATTGTTGAAGGCTAGCGCCCAATATTGATTGATAAAACCTGTGTGATTAAAGTTTTAAGGAATCAGTCACAGCTACATCACGACTGCGTAAATGACGTATGAAAGTTCCATACGCGAAGCAAGTTTTGACCTCAGATATCAAGATAATCGAAACCATCTGCAAAAAAACCCGATAGTCTTATTTCATGGGTGTTAAGGTAAACATCTGCAAGTCTGAAGGGCTATAGCTGAGCAACGTTAGACAGTTGCTTGAGTCTCAATCCAGCAATAAAACCCGGTTACCAGTGTGAGTTACCTGGGTCGATGATTTTACATAATTCATAGGCAGACAGCTGGGTAAGCTGCTGAGCTTTTTCTAAGACTGTGCGAAACATATGTGTGACTTTCTTTTTATTGGTGTCAATGTACCACTGAGGTGACGCCATTTTTAGAAAGGGGCTCAAACAAGGACAATAAGGGAGGCCATATATATATATATATATATATTTGGAAGGAACCATGTGGCGAAACTTAGACCACGTATTTTGATTTCATTCAAATCTACTCCCAGTGAAAGATTAACCTGACCAGCGCTTTTAAGGTAAAAATGATCAGAATTAACGAAACAAAGGTGTCCTATCGTCATGCCGTAGCATAATTGCGTCTCATTGCGTCTCACGACATAGTCAGCATCCGCGGTAGGAGGATAGAGTATGCTGCTATTTCTTTCTGCGTTGAGTTTGCAGACCATGGAACTCATCAAGAGCAGTCTTACCTCCTGGATAGTGAGTGAAAATCTGTAAACAGAGACTATATAACCTTTGGGCAACACAAGCGGCCTAGTGGAAATGGACTGTCCTTTGGACATAAGGGAAAAGTAAACCTCACGTAATTAATTCTATCACCGGGTCTCCCTTAAGCTCGCGCATGATCCCCACTAGAGTTTTTTCTCTCAGTCCTCTAAAAACTCTGTATATTCATTCATTTGCTCTATAATCATTGTTTTTAATTATCTACAGATTCGATTGTTGGTATTCCATTTTGAGTGCAAATAATCTCTATTGATTTTATTTATAAAAGAGGAAATATATAAAATCACCTTCTCCACTGATTAAGGAAGAATTGCTTCAAATACAGGAGAAATGGATGAGGGTGTTTTAGAAGTTGACGGAATTATCTTACACAGCAACTTCTAATTTATTCTCGCGTACCAAAAACAAAGCAAAAGCCAATATTTGATCGTCCAAACTACGTGATATATTTAAGGACCAAAATAGGCCGTCAGACGAACGCTTAGCTGGCTAGTGATCGTGCACGTGACACGATGGGGTACCAAACGGCGGGGATGCTTGACCGGAAGCCTTCAGCTAAACAAGTCGACTTAAACAGTGGTGGTCAGCATCCAATGGTGAGTGATTGCTGTGGTCAATAATTTTGGGGAATTGTTTACCGCTACAGTTTCAAAGCCAGAACCAGCAAGGCCAGAAAAATCAGTGCTCTGAAATCAGTTTGAAAATCTTCTTCAATCAGCCTCAAAAACAAGATTCTGATTTTCTACACAAATTTTCAGTCTTTCCATCTGTGTTGGTTAGAATCTTAGGGCGTTACGAAAAGTGTTTCCAACAAGTTGCAAACGTTTGTCAGCAGTTGCCTTCAATCCCTATCGAGGATTAAATGATCAGGAATAGTCTCGTACTAGAAACCATGGGAATCAACCAACCGAAGACAAGCAGACATGTAGAAGAATATTGGGTTGGATTGGGCACACACCTAGAAGTAAATTTCAGCGAAATGGGATTTAAGGACTGCTCAATGAGTAAAAGTCTCGAACTTGTCTAACAAAAATGACTGTATCGCAAACCCATATAATGTGCCTATTGACAGCAAAATGGAAAAAGCGGAATGGTGGTGAAGCAAGTACGTACATATTTACATTAAAACAGAGCTCTGAAATGTTTGAAATTTTACCACCTAAGTACTGCATGAAATAGAACAAAGTGGAGAAGCGCCGTTGAAGCCTTACGTTCTGTTAGGGACAAAAGGAAACCAAAAAAACTATAAAGATGTTTTTCAGCCATGTGGGACAACAAACAAGCGAGTCACAGACGCACTACACATTGAATATGGCAAATCACAAATAACCAAACTCCCATTTAAAGTACATTAGCGTTTGTCGACCTACGGCAGTTTGAGTGATGCATTAGATACATAAAAACTCACTGAAGTCCAATGACGCCAACCATACTGAAAGGAAATGAGCTAATATAAATGGATTCGGCTTATATTTGCTTGTAAAATGAGATTGTATGTTGAACGTAGGATGTTAATTTACAAATGTAAGCGTTACCCAGCTGACTAGGGTAACTTAAAAGTATCGATTGGCACCTAAATAGGAAAAAAGTTATTATTATCGCTGCACCGAAAAGCTATCAGCTGTTTAAAGGCGTTTTAGAGAAGTTAAGAGATTCACTGTGATGTAGGTATTCAAATTCTGACGTTCTCAATTGATACACTAACTTTTACTATGTATAAATCACATTCGAATTTGGTCTTCAGGTGTTAAATTCAGGAGACAATTCGAAGGCTACATGAGGATTTGACAATATTTTTACGATTCTATCTAAATTTATTTTTACTTTAGTCTTCCGCAAAGAGTCAGGTTAACCTGACCCTTTAAATAAAACCGCTTTCTGTACATAAATTCGTCAAGTTCGTCAATCCGTCTATTAAGTAGTTCCTTTTTTGACTACTATAGTCTAAAATCATTCATTTTTTACTATTCATCTATTTTTTCTCAACAGGTAGCTTAAGTTAAGGAAGCACTTGTTTCGTTACATGCACTGGCATACATAGATGTATATCATTTTTTTCGTAGAGGTACATAAGTTTATCTGGAAAGATTCATCTTTGCAAAAAATATGGAGAAGGTAAACTGTTGCGTATCGTGATTCCGAATTCTTCACTGAAACATATAGTAAAACTTGTCACCATTCGTCGTTTTCAGTACCTCTACCTGTCTCCTGTGAAGTGAATGCAGTGAATTGTAGTCTGTAAAGTCTGAAGGTAACGAGTGTGTAGTGGAAGAACTTCCTTCGCAATGTCGTCCATACCAGACTACTACAATTATATTTTAGCGGTTGCCTGTACAATGGCAGGCTTTTTGATTTTGCTCGGAATATCACCAGAATCAGAAAACCTTATCAGTGTATACGACTATTAAAATGTAACCATAATTAATTGACCTTTTCCACGCTACACATTCCACAGAAACCAGACTAGGTTAGCCTTGCATATCACCCTGCTTTTAGACGAAATCACTTTGTATTGCGTATAAGTGTACATACCAAGTGTTGCATCAGTGTATAACTGTGGAAATAGTCCTGGGAAAACAAATTGCCCTGCAGAATCTTTTGGAAAGTTTTCTGAAGTGATGATACTTTTAAGTGCCTATGAAAGGCGCCACTGTCACTGTAAGCATTCATTTCATTGTAAAACTACTATTCGATGTGATTAACATCATATGAAACCGAACTACACATGCAAAGGGCTAATTTTTCATTTTCTTGTATAATCCTTGATAAGAGTGTCGTTTCTGAGTGCTTATGAAATAGCGCGTGTACTACTTCAAATTTCATTCTTTTCAAATTTACTGTATTGAAATGTGACTCTGGAAGGCAGGAAATATATCGAGACTAGAGGATTTCGTCATAAGCAGCTTTGCTTACTCTCACCTGTAATCACTGGCAAGGTTAATAGTGGTGTTAAGTTATAGATTTCCGCCGACTGGGGCGTATGACGTTAGAATTTTATCCTAGAAACGCTTTAAGCGTTTTTAATTCAGAAAATGAGTTTCCTAACATGGACCCTGTAGGTGCAAAAAATGGATGCCTGCAGACTAGAAGATGCGGATGAATTCGTTCATTACAGTGCAGTTGGATCGACTTTTTGCCATATTTTCATAACACTTTTTCATTTTCGTGAGCTTTTTTGAGACTGACTGACTTTAAAAGTCAGTGAGTAGTTTTGTTTACATCAATAGATATTTTCACGGGTTTCCTTCTAATATCATGATACAAACACCTGATTTCCGTCAAATTGTTTTTCAGGGCAGATATAAGCAGTATGGAATCTGCTACCAAATTCCAAAAGCCTTCACCTTATAATGGGGAAACTAGGACAGATGCGGTCACTCCTTTTCTTCATCGTTTCCCCTATTGTATTGTTTGGACTCCAATTCCACTGTTGACGTATGTCTTATTTTGAGTCATGTCATCATTTATGAAGATGGTTGTTCCCTGTTGTTGGACACATGGGGATTGCTAATTCATATGGGATTATATATGACTTCGCAGCTCCATATACAATTGGAGTGAGTTTCCAGTTTAATAATATAAATGCATTTACTTCTTTTTTCATCAGGAAGACCAAATGGCATTTGGTTGGCCGACAATGTGCGTTATGAAACATTTGATAGATTGGTGTTTAATTTTTTAGGTATTATCAACCGCATCCTAAAGACATCCCAAGTCGGGAAATATGGGATAAGGCATTGTTTGAGGCAAATGAAGTCTATAAAGGACGAGTTGTAAGTAGTTTCAACTTTACAAATAATAATTGTCATTGGATGGTAGTTTTTATCATTTTTAACAGTTATCTCTTGATATGGATAAGGTTTTCTTTTGATAAATTACACAGTGTTATGTAGTAATATTAACTGTTAACATTATTTTACTGTATGTTATATTATTATATTACTGTTAATATTACTGTATAACGCTGTGATTTATCAAAATAAAATCTTATCCACAATACAGTTATACTCTACCACAATGCCCAAGTTTTATACTTATACCTCTTGATATGTATATTGTTTGGTCGAAGTGATTACAAAGCTTAGATATGTCTAAAAGTTTTCTTATATCACTAGGTTTTTTTTAACCACCCTTGGAGGTGATATCTTACATATCTTACAATGAGAGTCAAAAACTACTTCGTATTTCAAAAATAAGACTCCTTATCTAACTAAAACTCTACATTACAAACAGCGGTTGAAAGCAATTGACTTGAAAATATAGATACATATGTATCTTAGATTTTTTGCAAAAGGGTTTCATAATATAATAGAACTCATATTTCATGTGAGATTTTTGAAAGTGCGATTAAGTAGTAGCAATTGTGGTTCTAGGAAAATCACGCCTTTTTTCCACTCAATTTTTCTAGTCAACCGCAGATATTCTCATTGCTGTAAGATTTGACTGCCTAGATTATAACAAAAGGAAATAACTGATTGATATTATGAAATTAATACGATTCCCGTGGGTTCAAATTAGAACATACGGGTTCAGCAGCACAGCACCGTTTCACTCTATTGTCTGATGCTCAACTGTTTGTTTTCCTTTTTTACGTTACACTCGAGAGCCTGGTATATGATGCAACTCAACGGTCTCCTCAGCTTGCGCCCATTTTCATTTTCTTCTGTATATATGTTTGGCGATACGGTGTTGGCTGGTTTGTATCCAGAAGTCTCTGTTGTTTATTATTTCCGGCTCGTTATCTGGTCTGCAGTGTGGAGGGAAGGTGGCTGCAGTAGCCCGTTAGAAACGCTTTTCGTGACACACTACATGCAAGCATTGACTCGACATTAATGTTGAAAATCCGAATTTTCTATTGTGGCGAATGTTAATTATATTTGACATCTTTTGGTTACTTTGTCGTCATACTATTAAGAGTTTTCTTTACGTGATCATAAATGCATAAAATAGCGAGATTTTTTTAAACAGAACTCAGTATGAAATAGGCATCTGTCAGATTGTAAATGTGATATCTATACGTACGAAAACATCTCCGACTTTGAATCTAGATTACTCCACTGGTAATGTTGTAGTCATTTCCAGTAACTTATTTTAGGCTCCCGACTGAAAGCTGCTACCTTGGCGTGGTGGTCGGGCTTGAACACCGCAATGATCTATTCAAGCTATACTGCCTGAGACTTATGTTTCTTGAGGTCCTACCATGCCAGGCAGGTTGTTTGGATAGCGTTTCTGTCTGTTTTCGACATAGAACTTTGCACAAATGTGCGGAAGTTCAAGTCGCCACATTCCGTGTAGCACGCGAAGCAAGAGAAGAAAGTACAAGAAAAGCATAATAGAAACAGTGAGCAGAGGTGTGAGACAAAGGAGTAATAAAGAAATACAAAACAGTTTCATTGAAGATCATAAGTCACAGGGAGTGGATGCATCTGCGCCACTGAGAACGATTTTGAGCCATGTCACCAATTGTTTCCAACCATAGATTTTTACCGTCCCGAGGACCCCAGCCTGGAAGTCTACACCTTCCTACGTGGCTTAGACCAACTGTTGTGGATTTCATTGACTGATGCCAAGTTTTTGTTTGACCGCCGCTAGCTTTTTTCCAGCCTGACCCTATATCCGCTAACATTGCTCGTCGAGGGAGGCGATGGCTTGGCATACGTAACACATGTCCTAACCATCTCAGTCTTTGTAGCTTCACGACTTCGTCGATTGATTTCCCCTGTTTACCTAGAACTCTACGCCTAACCTCCATGTTGCTCACCTTATTATGCCACTTTACACGGGAAATAGAACGCAGGCACCTATGATCAAAGACAGCTAGTCTTTTCATGTCTTCCACTCTCAGTGGCCAGGTCTCACAACCATAAAGGAGGACGGAGCGGACTGATGAGCAGTACACCCGCCCTTTGGTCGATAGTCGAACATCTCGTCTACGCCAGAGTCGGCGTAAACTAACAAATGCGAAACGAGCCCCTTGTATTCGTGCTGAGATTTCGTCAGAGATCAGCCCGTTGGGGCTGATGGTACTTCCCAAATAAGTGAAGCGGTCAACGTGCTCTACCACTTCACTTCCTATTTTTAAACTAGGCGTCGATGTAGTCCAGTCCTGTAACATCATCTTGCATTTGGCGGGAGCGAATCGCATGCCAAACATTCGTAGATTGCGGCTCAAGGTGTTTAGAAGACTCTGCATTTCGTCAGCGTCTTCGCCTAGAAGGACTATATCGTCTGCATATTCCAAGTCAACGAGATTATTCCCCGGTAGCAAGTCAATCCCTGAGTCGCTGAAGTCACCTAGGGTTAAGTCCATTAACACATCTATGATGAAGTTGAATAGAAAAGGAGATAATGGGCATCCTTGACGGACACCACTGGTCGTCATCAGTTCAGATGACAGCTCGCCGTAAGCCCTCACCTGGCTGTATGAGTACGAATAGAGTGCCTTAATCAGTGCAATATATTTTCTTGGAATTCCCTTTACAGCCAAGCATCTCCAGAGAACTTCCCGATCGACAGAGTCGAATGCTGCCTTTAGGTCAAGAAATATAATGACTGTTGGACGCCGGTAGGAATGCCTATGTTCTAGAATCTGTCGGAGGGTGAAGATATGATCAATACACCCTCTTCCTGGTCTAAAGCCTGCCTGGCTCTCTCGTGTTTGTGCTTCCCGAGCACCACTCAGTCTACGCATGATTATTGAGCCTAAGACTTTAGATACTATATTAGTCAAGCTAATCCCTCTGTGATTATCACAGGAAGACTTGTCTCCCTTCTTGTATATGGGGATAATCAGTGACTTACACCAACCCGATGGGACTTCTTCTGATTCCCAGACGCTGCCTAGTACCTCAGTTAATCCGGACAGTAAGCTGTCTCCACCGTACTTAAATACCTCTGGCGTCATTCCATCAGGTCCCGCTGCTTTGCCTAGTTTCAGATTGGTGACAGCTTTAGTAACCTCAGTTAGTGACGGAGGACCTGTGTCTATATCCCATTCAGGGAGGTGTTGGATGCTCGGAAGGTTGAGCGTGGCTGTGGGCAAATTAAACTGCTCCTCATAATGCTCTTTCCAACGATCCAGTCGTCTATCCTGGAGCTAATTATAGTGCCATTTTTTTCCGAGATTGTCTCACTAATGATTTGTCTTCTCCCACCCGTTTCCCTGATGAGTCCAAAGAGTTGCCTGGTGTTGCCTATCCTCAAAGCTTTCTCCATCTCTTTGGCTTTTGTCGCCCACCACTGTTCACGGTCCTTGCGGAGACTTTTCGTAAGTTTCCTCTTGTGCAGCTTTCGCTCCTCATTGAATTCGGAGCTCGCCGGAATAAGTCTTCTAGCATCTATCAGTTCGGATGAGGCGGTGGAGATCCAGTGGTTTTTACTCACCTTTGGGTTTACCTTATTCACAGCTTTTACAGCTGTATCTATGGCTGCCTGGATATTTTTCCAAGCTTCTTCAGGGTGAGCACAGCTGTCGAACACAGATATGTGTTTAGCTAGTTCTTCCTGAAATACGGATTTAGTTTCCTGATCGAGCTGGGGACGTGATGGTTTTACCGCCAGCTGTTTCCTACGTCCGTTCAGTCGTAAGCACACCCGAGCGCGGACCAGTGCATGGTCGGTATCTACGCACGTGTTCCAGAAGGAGCGACAATCTCCTACCGACCCACGCCAACGATAGCTTATTGCTATGTGGTCTATTTGTGTCCAGCGTTGGTTTGATGAAGGGGGTCTCCAAGTCAAACAGTGTCTCTCCTTGTGTTTAAAGTTAGTGCTTACAAGAAACAAATGATTATCAGAGCAGAACTGTAGGAGACGGTCACCGTTGTCGGTTCGCTGGCACGGAGCTCCATAGGTGCCACCGACATCCTTCTCAGATTGACACAATTTCCCTACTTGAGCGTTAAAGTCACCAGCTAGAACGACTATGTCTGAGCGTTTAGCCTTTCCACCAAACTAGACAGCTTTTGGTAGAACTCATCCTTCGTTTCATCTGAACTGCAGTCAGTGGGGGCGTAGGCGGAGATTACGAAAAGGCATCGGCGAGTAGTGCAGTCCTTCCTCCTTCTTACTGATCCGTTCAGGCGGACAGCACACATTCGGCTATCTACCGGGATCCAGTCAAGCAATGTCTTTTCTGCCCTAGTACTCAAAGCTATCCCTACGCCAGCTAATCCTCGTGAACTAGCTGTGGCATCTCCTGACACCCTCAAGGTGAATTTTGCAGATTCAACCTGTTGGCCAGGTGGGGTTAGGTGAATAACCACACTTGGGTCTTGTATGCGTGTTTCTGAAACACAGCATACATCAATGGCTCGTGATGCCAGGGTCTTGGCTAGTGATGCTTGTTGTCCTATTTGGCAAAGTGTCCTAACATTAAGAGCTCCTATATGAAATTGGTGGCGCGGCTTTAAGAGGCTGTCGGTGGTGGTTTTTTGGCTTCCATCGTTTTTAGTGGACGCAGAGTGGAGAGGAAGTGGAGAGCTATCAAGTCGAGGAGTTGCATCAGTGGAAGGAAGGCAAGATGATAGAGATGAAGATGAAGACAAAGATGAGTGAGTAATAGAGAGGTTTCGTGTGCATTTCGGATTGTGAGGGCGATTGTTACTTCCCGGCTGCCCACACCGTGGAAGTTGGTTGCGTGACCGCAGAGCCCAGGGGACAACTGCTTGAGGCCGGTCACACGCGGCCTGTTTTTGTTCGTTCTTTTTTGTTTGGTGTGTCTCAGTAGCAGATTTATCACTCCTGCCCTGTGACACGGCAGCAGGAAGCGCGGTCGTTGTTAATCCGGGCCACGGCCGATCCGGCATGAAATTTTGTAATTTTGTATTGGACATGATGTTGGATTGGGTAGCTGCTTTTTGTTTAACCGCTATCCAAACAACCTGCCTGGCATGGTAGAACCTCAAGAGACATAAGTCTCAGCCAGTATAGCTTGATTAGGTCATTGCGGTGTTCAAGCCCGACCACCACGTCAAGGTAGCAGCTTTCGGTCGGGGTAGCGTTTAAACGAAAAGCAGCTACCCAATCCAACATCATGATCAATACAAAATCACAAAATTTCATGCCGGATCGGCCGTGGCCCGGATGAACAACGACCGCGCTTCCTGCTGCCGTGTCACAGGATAGGAGTGATAAGTATGCTACTGAGGCACACAAAACAACAATATTTTAGGCTAGGCCTAATTTCAAATTATTTTTGGTCGTGTCTATTTACACACGATATAGGTACAAATAAGTTTTACTCGGTGAAGATGTAGCTCATTAGTTTAAGCACTCAGCCTTGAGCTACTGCGTCACGGTTTCCAACTCTGCTCCACCTTCGTCAGTCTGCGTAGTGTTATCAGCCGTCACACAATGAGTGTTGGTTACATCGTGGTATATAGAAATTGCGTTCTGAGTAACTGAGGTTTAACTAACGTGACGAAAATACCTGTGATCGACTGGTGATTGTACTTGTCTCTAAATTTCAGTTGGGTAAACTGATATTTTTTAAATAGATGTGAATTTGGACGATATAATCGGGAATTGTGTATTTCTTAAAGGTTTCGAATTACTTTTCGTTGCCTATCGCGTGAAACTATTGTTTTTTGGGTAAAGAACTAGAATAAGAAAAAAAGTTCCTAAACTGACTTCTTTGTGTTTATTGTGACAAGGCATTGTCCGTTCTACTTCAAATGAACAGTTCAACTCTTGGCAAGTAGTGTAGTCAAGTCATACATATAATTCTAATGGATAGCTGCTACCTTGACTTTGAGGTTAGGCTTGCATACTGCAATGACCCAATGAGCTACATTGGCTGGAACGAATGCTCTCCCAGGACTAAAAACAGTTACCGTCATAGTGCAAGCGGTCTACACTATGTTGGGAGGGGGATGTGAGGGTGAACAGGAATGTGATGGCAGCAAGCTGTTTCCCTTGGACAACCAGCAACCAAACTATGCTACCTGCTCGCTTTAAGGAGGGGGAAGACTTTTAAAAAAAGTTTCCTCCCAAAAATTCTACACCGTGACTTAACGTCCAGCCTTCCACAAACGGCAATAAGATCTTAATGTAGACATAACTCCGAAAAAACCGAATCAAATAGACCTGAAGCAGTTAGTTATCTCTTGGGCTCTTCAGTCATGCGATACTTATGCCTCTTCTGTTTCAGAAAGAAATCAACTTTCACGCTGTAGGCCACTGGTAAGTAATGACTGCCCACATACACTTCTATCAGTTAGTCATCCTTACACTTGTAGGTCACACTACAAATTCACTTTCAAATGAAAAGGTAGAAAAGCAGTCTGTATCCATAATCAGAGTTGAAAGGTAAAAGTTGTTTTCGTATCGAATTGTTATTATAAGAAGATATGTATATATTTGAATATTAATTGCCAATAATGTTAAGTAGGTTTCATTGTTGTTTCAAGCATTTAAAAATAATTGCAGTAGTTAATGTTTACAATAAGATGATTCTACCAATGATATTATTGAAGTTAACTTAGTCCAAAATATTCCAACAAATACTTTCTATGACATATTTTTGTTTGTCATTTCAGCATAATCTTATCTGTGATAATTGTCATAGTCATGTGGCATATGCTTTAAACAAGATGCGATTTCAAGATAAAGACAATTGGAATATGATCCGTGTTGCTGTCTTATTGTTCTTTCATGGGAGATACGTTAGGTAAGTTTGGCTGCCCCTTATGAAATGATTTTCTTAAAATTCTTTTCTCGTGTTACTGTTTAAAACAAAGTCAGTGCCTAAGAGTCAGTTTTTTTTGGATTAGTTGCACCTTTTAATCTAATCTAATTTCCAGTTATATTGTTAAAATTCAATCCTAGAGCTTGGACTCGCACCATTGACTGACTGAAAAATCAAAGTGATAGTTTGTACAAAAGTGCATCAGTTCAAGTTGAGAATTTTCAGAAGAAAAAGAAATCTAAAACCCATGCTGTAATGGATGAAAATGTAAAAGAGGGGGATCATTGCGAATGGTATCCGGCAATGCTACCAAGTCTGCGATCATTGATTCTTAGCGTCACAAAGGTGCTAGCCACGTTGTTTACACTTCTCTTTGTGGTTCTTGTCAAGAGTCAGTAACTTCATCGATCAATGTCATACTTTTTCCTGACTATCCTATTTCTTTTTCACCCAAGTGGCATATCAGTTGACATTGGTCGTTGAGTAAGACGATGACTTTATATGCATCAGACATGTTTTACGCATCTCAATCAATACAGCTTCACAGCCCCATTGATAGACTTCCCCACCTAAGTAACAATCTTCACCTCATCCAATTATTACTGACTATATTATACCACCTAACACAAAGGGTTGAATACAGAAAAATATGGTTAAAGGCAGCCAGCCGCTTCAAACATGCCAATTTTATCGGCCCTGTCTCACAGCCGTCAATGGGGGATAAGATGAACTGTCGCAAAGTACACACATCATTTCATAGATAGACTAATATCGTTCCTGTACAAAAGTTGATGCGAGTTGGTAAATGGCAGACTAACCATTTGTATCCGTTGTAAGATTTCGTCAGAAAGTCATGGTCAATACAGTCAACCACTTCAATCACTTCGTATCTTTAAACCTGGAGTCAGCGCACACCAGTGGGCTTCAGCATTGTCTTATGTTTGATAGGCACGGATCACATGCTAAGTATGGGGAAATTTTTGCTCAATGTGTTAAGAATATTCGGCATTTTGTCAGCGTCTTTACCTAAAATGCTTCGCCACCTACATACCGTAAATCGTCGTGACTTTACCCTGGTAACAAGTCAATCTTTGAAACACCAAAGTCGATCCAAGGTCACACTCACTAGTTTATTAACAATGAGACGATGGTTATGCTTAACCGACACTAATTATGGTTATCGTCACTTCAGAAGACAACTGTCTGCGCGCACTTACATAAGTAGTGTCTTGATTAGTACAACGTACTCGCTTGACACTCTCCTAAAATACAGACAGCCGCGTCATTTTACGGTCGATACAGTCTGTGCTTAAAATAGCAGTCTGTTGACTTCTTTCATCCAGGGAGGTCGATGATACATGTGATATTAGCGGAGTAGTTGGTATTTCTCTCAGTAGCTGTAGTACCAAAATATGTATTTCATTGTTTTAGCGATCAAATTAGGTCACGTTTATTTTGGTTAATACACTACTATATCTACACTAAGCAGTATTTTAGACGCAAATTTACATTACGAATGTATAGAAAACAGGGGTAAAAGAAAAAACTTCTTTAAGTGAATTATACTCATTAAGCCTTCACAGTCTTTCGATAATTGTGAATTAAATTTTTTAAATTTAATTAGCCTGCAAAGTGGTTGTCACGGGTTTCGTTTGTAAACCATACATGAAATTAGTATGAACTACAGGAGCACTTTAACGGATAGTTACCCTTCATTTTAAAATGATGCGCCAGTATTTAGAACAACACACTTAAGCGAACAATATTGTTTTCAAATATAAACCAATCATAGTGTTTTGTCAATAGGATATTAGAGTTAAACCTGATGAGATCTAATTGAAAACAATATTGCACGCCAACATTTCACAAGGTATACTCTGCTTACTGGTATAGAAGCCATTGGCATAAAATGTGCGAACTTTTTTCAGATGTTTTAAAACTATTTTATTTATGATAATTTCGATCATGTTCAAGCGCACATAGTCGAAATTCAAAACCTCATATACTGTGTTAGTATCAGACTGACTGATTGACTGGTTTCAACATGGAACTTTGCACCGATGTGCGGCAGTTCGAGTCTCCACACCTCACTCAGCACAGAAAGCCAGAGAAGAAGAAAAAGAAAGTAAAAAGAAACGCAAAGTAGAGACAGTAAATAGAGATATGAGGCAAAAAGAATAGTAATATTGAAGAACTATATAGTTTTATTAGAAATTATAAGTCACAAGGAGTGGGTGCATCTACGTCACTGACAACGAATTTGAGCCATATCACCAGTTGTCTCCAGCCAGTCCAGAGGTCCCCAACAAGGAAGTCTACATCTTCCTACGTGGCTTAAACTAACTGTTGTGGGTTTCATTGACTGATGATGCCATGTTTTGGTTTGACCACCACTGGCTTTTTTCCAGCCTAACCCTTTGTCAGCTAACATTGTCTGTCGAGGAAGGCGATGGCTAGGCATGCGTAACACATGTTCCTATCAGATGTCAAAAGGTATATTGACAATCGAGCACAAAAAGAGACTGGATATCTTCAGCACTCTGAGCCGTTTAAAATTGGATCAAGGTCAGAGTACTGTAGAAAATGAACAGACTAATGTTTATCATGCTGGTTTTCAGAATAAGATAGCGAATCTCACTTATATCAGTTTCATCTACACAACTATCATCCAGGTACACCAGCATTCTGACTACTTGCAGAGGTTCACCCTGAAGGTCAGACACACAAGCACCCCTTCTTGTCAATGTCGCAATGTATTTTCCAATTCACTGATGCAAACGTTATACTCTACATTAAGAGATAATTGCTAACAGTTTAGGTTCAATTTAAGTCGCCATATACTTCATGCTGGAAGATTTTCTTCAGTTTAGTAATCTTCATTATCTAAATAATTTTTTGTTGGCGCACTTGACTCCAAAAACGATTCCACTTAATCAGTTTTTCGTTTTTAGGATTTGTTTCTTTGAGGTACAGATTTTGTTTCAGCTAAGAGAGCAGTTTGGCAAATTTTGTTCTACGGTATATCAAAAACAAACGGCATTTTCCGACAAGCTGATGTTTATGCTGTAAAGCTATAAGCCTTAAGTTGTTTTTATATGGCTTTATTCAGCCATATGATGCAGAATAGTTGTTGACATGAAAAGTTTTCTTAGGATATCAAGATAATCTCAAAAAGATATTTGCGAATATCATGAATCAATGCAGGTTTTCGGGGAATTCTATTAATAACCTACCTTGGCTATCATGAAAAGTCAATCTCACTAATAGTTAATTATCCTATTACCTTTCTTATCCAACCTTCCGGTTTATTTATGTTATTTTTACCTTGTTAATTTCTGTCTGCATTACTAGATTTGTTTTATTTTTTTATACATCCGAACTTACTACCTATTTTGTTATTACTACGTCCTAAAAAGTCAAAGGCAGCTGCCTATGAAAGTCTGCATCAGGTGGTTTTAAATAGTTTTGATGATGTCGTCGCTCAGTCTCTGCAGCATATGAAAGCAGTGATGTGACATTAGTGCTGAAAATTAGAATCTTTTCCCTTATGTTGAGTGCAATAGATCTCCACACTGACTTTAGAGTGGTGAACGTCTGTCTTGCCTTTCGGATCATGCCTTTGATATAGTCATCCGTGATGTCTGTACTTGAAATGATTCTATTCAGCTCATTGAAAGAGGTGAGTCCTTTCAAATTTCTCCCATTTGTAGTGAATGGTGCTCTCTGTTGTTGTTGGTAGTGGTGGTTGGGTATCTTAATTCCTTCTGTCTTCTCTGTGTCCACTTGAAGTCCTGTCTTCGCTGCCTACATCTACTGTTAGCTTGTTGGTTTTTGCATGTATATCTCCGAGTTTGTGTGACATTAGACATAAATCATCTAGGAAATCCGAATCTCCCATTGTCCGTTTGTACACAAGGCTCGCTTCGCATATGCCAGTTTACGCCGTCTCTGGCGTATATGTGGTATCCGGCTGTCGACCGAAGGGGGCGTGTGTACTGCTCAGTAGTCCACTCTGTCCCCCTTTGTGGCTGTAAGACATGGCCACTTAAAGTGGAAGACACAAATAGGCCAGTTAGCTGTTTTTAATTATAAGTGCCTGTGTTCTATCTCCCGTGTGAAGTGGTATAATAGGGTGAGCAATATTGAAGTTAGACGTTGAGTGCTAGATAAGGAGAGGAAATCAATTGACGAGGTTGTGAAGTTACGCCGATTGAGATGTTTAGGACATTTGTTGCGCATGCCTAGTCATCGCCTTCCTCGACGGTCAATGTTAGCTGACATTGGATCAGGTTAGAAAACAGTTGGCTAATGGTGGTCAAACCAAAACATGGCGTCTTCAGTCATTGAAATCCACAACAGTTAGTTTAAGCCAGCCACGTAGAGAGGTGTAGACTCCCTGACTGGTTGGGCTCTCCGGGATGATCGTTGATGGCTTAGATGCATCCACTCCTTATGACTTATATTATCCAATAAAACTATGTTGTTCTTCGATATTACTATTCTTTTTGCCTCATACTTCTGTTTGTTATTTTTATTTTGAACCTCGTTTTAACTCATTTCTCTTGCATTTTTGTGCTACAACATGGAGTTTGGAAACTTGAAGTGCTGCGCATCTAAGCAGAGTTCTACGTTGAAGCCAATCAGTCAGTGTCTGTTTGTTGGTTTAAAGTATACTCATATTCTGGCTCCTTATGCACTGCTAGATTGACCCAGTCCATGAAAATCGGGAATATAATTGACGATTATAGACATATAATTCGTTTTTTTGTTGTTATTATTTTATATTCCTTTGTATAATTCGATTTTCATCTTTCTTTTATGTTCCAGTAAACGTCATTTTTTCGCCTCTTGGCTTCCATTCATCATTCTGATATGTACAATTTTGATGGTAATATCACTAATTTTGCATATCAGATGAACTAAATATATAAATATTAACAGTCTAACAAGGACCGAGAAAACTACCAGAACAGAAAATTCCACCGATCTCGTTTATATTTTAACTCTATTTGTAAATGTTATCAGTGGTGTTATGTGAAAGCATATCACAATTTATTATCGTAGATAATATTTATCTCATTTTGTATGATTTTCATTTAAATATTTCATTGTCATTTTGGTTTGACGAATAATTTAATCTCTTCAATACATTTTCATTCTTCACTGCATATAAACGACTGGATGAGCTAACTGGGATCTTGCACATGCGTGTTCATCAAATTCGGTTACTCTACTTTTAAAAAATCTTGTAGAAGAGTTGAGGAGATAAGGAAATTATACTGCGATTGATAGACAGATGGCAGTGTTTGAAAACTTGACAAGTGTCTGATAAGTTTAAATAATGACATTTACAAGACATATATATTACGAGGCGAGTTTTCTTTTATACCTCGCGTTCGGAGTGGGACAAAGAGCTTTGAAGTTCCAGTGGTTGGTGGGTGTTTTTTTTTACGGAATGGGATAACTATTGGCCATTTTAGGGGTTCTTTGATCAGGATTCAAACCTGAACCTACCGCGTGACCAGGGAGCACTCTGTCATTGAACCACAAACACACACATTGCGAGGCGATATAATCTTGTAATTTCTCTAGAATCGTGTCACAACTAACATGGTAAGTAGTAATGCAAAGTTAGAAAGTAGGATAAATTGGTGTTTTAGTATCCCACCATATTTCTATGGATTAAATAGTTCCGTATGGGTAACAGTTGAAATCTCTTGTTTCATATGCATAGGATTGATCCAAAATGCTTCGATCACCTTTAACAATCACGAATTGGAATTATATAAAATAACTGGGAAACAGTTGTAATATTGGTTTGTTGGCCAAAGCGGACTTCAAGCACCAGTGAGTACCAGCAGAGTGCGACCGCACCAATCAACCTGAAACGCTCAGTGAGCAAGTTATTAAAACCCGGTAAATAATATCGTAGTAATGAATAAAATATGCCTAATGTTATTAAGTGGGATATCTGACTAGCTTAAGATTAGATATGGGAAAGATTAAGTTTAGGTTTATGCTAAGGACAGGTTGTGGTTAGTCTAACCTAATGAAGGCGACATTAGGGTTGGTTCGAGCTTGATTAGGGTTAGTTTAGGGATATTTTCACGTTAGGGTTAGAAGATCTAGAAATTACATGCACAAAATGTGGTTAAATTACTCTGTTGATACTTCAATCCAAAACTGAGAAGTATCTTTGTCACACATCAGAGAAAGGTATTTTGTGTAACAGTTTCAGGCCTTTCAATTCATTATTATCATGAATATATTCAACACGTAAAAATCGCCTTTATCGTGTGATTGTTGCGTCCCAGGTCGTTCGTCCGTTGGTACTTACTGGTACTTAAAACCTAACTTTGCTGAGTTATTGATCAAACAACGATGAATGCTTGTAGATTCATGATGTTGGATTCTTTGTAAAGATGGTCACCGAAGTAGAATTTAAGATGCACACTTCGTCCCATTCGGGATTCGTCAGCTAGGTGTAGTCGCATATCCAGTGACTGATGGTGTTCCCATAGAGATTCGAACCCGGTATCCATCGTTTCAAACGCCAAAGCGTTATCCACTAGATCACTTGGGCTACGAGAGCCATTTCGTGTGCAACAGATGTTTGTTATAATTGTTATGAAAAGTAGTTGACATCTCTCGATGACTGATTATGTTGGAACAGCACATCACTAAAGGCTGAACAAATTGGTCCAGCATAATCAATAACCGGCTGGAAATACAAACTAACTTATCAACTGCGAAGGGGATTAAGCGTAAACAGCAGGCTACGGGAAAAGTACAAGGACAAGAATGACTATATGTATTTATCTCGTAAAAGGTGAACAGAATTTATAGGGTAGTATGAGAGGGTAATTTCATCAATAAAAGTTGAAAGGATCAAGTCTACTGTAAAGTTGTTATAAATGGATGCAGTGAAGGGTACACAATTAAACTACCAACACCAGAAGGAAAACATACCAAGACTACCCCATCCTCTATCATCACAGATTTATCATATCTACATTGCATAAAGCAAATATGTAGAAGTTATTCAGTTCTGCATATATCCAGTTTTTCTTTATTAGTTAGGATACGGAATAAATAATTCATAACCCTGAAGGACCACAGCATATCCTGAAGGTGATAGATGTATTTCGAGATGGATGGATGCATATCGCTAAATATTTGACGGTGATTGTCTTCATGCACTGGGACTATCTAGTTGTCCGGCATTTGATGTTTGTATTGGTCATTGGAATGATATATGATTTATCGTGTCACAGCCTTTTAAATGAAGACAAGGCTGCGTATTATCATTGATAATATTCCTGATTGTCGTGGTGTATATCATGTAGCAAACCGTGGGGAACGAGGAGACAGGGATACTTTGGACCGAAAAGAAGACAATAGAAGATTTGGCCTTCGTGGATGGTTTGTGTTTAGTGTCGCATAAACTCGGAGATATACAGGCAAGAAAAAAACAAGCTGACAGAAGTGGCAGGCAGCGAAGACAGGACTTCAAGTGAACACAGAGAAGAGAGAAGGAATGAAGATACCCAACCACCACTACCAACAACAACAGAGAGCACCATTCACTACAAATGGGAGAAATTTGAAGGGACTCACCTCTTTCAATGAGCTGAATAGAATCATGTCAAGTACAGACATCACGGATGACTATATCAAAGGCATGATCCGAAAGGCAAGACAGACGTTCACCACTCTGAAGTCAGTTTAGGAATCCACCACACTCAGTATAGGGGACAAAATCTGAATTCTCAGCACTAATGTCATGTCAGTTCTTCTATTTAGTTGAGAGACTTGGCTCATCACGCGAAGCATTTCGAACAGCCCTCAAACTTTTATGCACAGTTGTCTTTAATGGCTCCATACAAAGGATCAGATGTTCACAAAGGATAATTCATAAAGGACTGTGGCAGCGAACTAGCCAAGAACCTATCGCCTAACAAATATGCCAAAGATTATGCAGATGGATTGGACACACGCTGACTGACATTACACACCAGACCACTGTTGGTAACCCGAATGGAAGATGACGAGTTGAACGTTGGTTCGAGGGTGACATAGAGGAAACGACTTGAGGAATAAATGGAAGGTTAGAGGCAGTCGTGGTTGCTGCAGATAACTGACTGAAATGGTAATGCACCGTTGAAGCCCTATGTGCCATTCGGGACCCAAGTCACTAATAATAATAATAATTGTATGGAGGATTTCACTATGAGCTGATATCAGTTAGAGAACCACTGGAAAACCTAGGAGTACTGGACAGCTGTTTCGTTCCAGTTTGGGGCTCTTCATCGGTACGCACTCATCGCGAAAGATCAAACCCAGGACCTTCTGGTTACAAGGCGAGCTCGTAGACCATGTGGCCACTAGGACCCGATCCAGTGGTCTTTGAATTCTTACTTCTGCCAATTCACGACGTAGCGCGACCATTTCGCAATGTCTTCTTCGGTGCCACATCTTCGACTTGCTGTACCCTACTGGTCTTATTCAGGCAGTGACCTGGGGTTCTAGTGAGTAGCCATGATCAGTAGGGTGCAGCAGGCCGAAGACGAAGCAATAACTCATCGAAGAAAACATTGCGAATTGGTCGTGCCATATCATGAATTGGCAGAAGTTAGAATTCAAGGTCCATTGGATCGGGTCCCAGAGGCTTAATGGTCTACGAGCTCGTCTTGTAACCAGAAGACCCTGGGATCGAGCTCTGACGGTGAGTGTGTACTGCTGAAGAGTCCCCAACTAGGACAAAAAACAGCTCTCCAGTACTTCCTGTAGGTTTTCCAGTGGTCCTCATGACGAAATCCTTCATGCAATCAAACAAAATCTCTACATAACCAATACTTGAAAATAATAATAATAATGTGATAATATTTAGCACCAACCAAGTGGCTTATCTTAAAAACAACGCGTTACACCAAATCATATTACACGACGTACTGATGATAAATTTATTGAATAAGAAGGTATTCGCCGGAAAGAACAATATTACCACTTGGAATTTACAGAAAATGAGTTCCTAATGTGAATTTGAACCAAAAATAAGGTGTAACTTGATTTATATGTGTGGAATTTGTATACATACGATGTATTTCTATTGTAGTGAGAATGAAATCCTCTTTGCAGCTACATATCGGTCACGGTGAAGGCATGATGTTATTTGGTGTATGGTGACTGGCAGTGGAATCCATGACCCTCATTTAGTCTTATTTAGGACCCAGCAGTGAGTGATATTGTTCCTACTTAGACTCGAATCCTGCATCCATCGCTTCAAATGCCAAAGCGGGCAGTTGTAGTCCGTATTCACTTTGTTTCAATGATCTCAGCTTCGTCAGTACACACTGATCGTTTCACGGGATCACTTCAGTTGACTGGTTAGAGGATTTCATCATGAGCTGACATTGGTTAGAGAACCATTGGAAAATCTGGGAGTACTGGACAGCTACTTCATCCTAGTTGGGTACTCTTCAGCAGTGTACACCCACCGTGGTTCGAACCCAGGACCTTCTGGTTACAAGGCCAGCGATCTCGTAAACCATTGGCCATTGGATCAGGTCCCAATGGCTTAATCGTATACGAGCTTGCCTTGTAACCAGAAGGTCCTGGGTTCGAACCACGGTGGGTGTACACTGATGAAGAGTACCCAACTAGGATGAAATAGCTGTCCAGTACTCCCAGATTTTCCAATGGTTCTCTAACCAATGTCAGCTCATGATGAAATTCTGTAACCAGTCAACTAGATTATTGGAAAATAAAAATTTAGGTAGCCCTAGAACAAGTGACTCTGCTAAGTTAAATAACCTAGAGAAAAATCTCAGTCATTGCACCGCATTCACTCTCACGGAATAACAAAATAGGATGGGACAGGGTGAGAGTATTAAAAAGTAATATAGTTAGGTGGAGAGA